CAGGCAGGAAGCTAGCCAGCCGGAAGACTGGCGCTCCCCACCCGAGGCTCCCTGTGCGCCGGAAGCCCTCCTTCCGGGGAACGACGAGGCCGGAGTCGCTTATTGTTTTAAGATTTGAGTTTGGGGATGGTTTTTTGTGCAGTGTTATTGTGGTAATTGATACTTAAAATGTCTTTATGTACCATCAGGGAAATTTTAGGATAGCGTGCAAGAAGGAGTTAAGTGTGTTGGCTGTATGGGCAGTCACACCTTCTAGAATTTAACTCAGAAGTTACGCAGGAGTCACCAACTTGGGCATACTGTCCCATTCAGGGAAAAATGCATAATTGTATATGTCTTTTAGGCCTTTGGCTATGGCCAAAATGGGAGATCCCACCATAAAAACTCTTGTCATGGAAGATCTCACCATGGAAGCAGATCTCCGTTCTATGTGCCATAGTCTCAAATGAGTTATTGGGAGTTTTAGGAATGCACTTTTATATGAGTTGTATATGACTCAGTCAGTCAAGACTGGGTCAGCAGGCACCAGCTGTCTGTAAGGTCCCTACTGTGGCTGGGACTTTGTTGGTGTTGTTTCCTGTGATGCTGATGGGAAATTATATGTGACTAAATTTAAATTAATTGCAGTTAAATAAAACTAAAAATCCAACTCCTCAGTCACACCCATGTAGCAAATGTTCAGTGACCCCATGACTTGTGGCAACTGCTTTGGAGAACACAGATTCTGAATGTTTGCATTATCCCAGAAAATCCTTTGCACAGTGCTGGTCTGAGAGTGTTTGTTAAGACTTCTTATTCACAGATATTTTTTTTTTCTGTCTAAATTTTTAGTTTCCACTGACCAGTTGATTTTAACAGCCTCTCACCCTGGGAGAAATGAGTTGTTTTCTAGGTTATTTTTCAAAACTCAAGCTAGCCTGTTTTGATACCTCTCATGTCTAGTGTTCTCCCAGCTGATAGATCATGAAGGTGCCATTAAAGTGAAGTCTTTAGGGGCTGGGGATTTAGCTCAGCGGCAAAGCGCCTGCCTGGCAAGCGCAAGGTCGTGAGTTCAGTTCCTGGTACTGGAGAAAAACAAACAAACAAAAAAAGATCAAAAAAAAAAAAAAAAGTGAAGTCTTTATTTTTTTCTTCCAGTGTACCAACAGAGGAAGTGTCCACACTCTCAGGGCAGTGTGAGGCCCGTGCAGGGACTGAGGGCAGCGAGAGAACCCCTATGTTGAGCTATAAAACCCCAGATGTACCTGCAGGGAAATGTAAGAAAAAAATGAAACACAAAGAGGAAATATTGGGCAAAGTCAGGGAATGCCCATGTTCTGCCAGGCTAGGTTTGCTTGTGTTTGCCTTCCACCTCAACCCAGCTGGAACTGGGATTTGTGGCGGGGTGGGGAGGGTGGGATGCAAGGGATGCCTATCTCTATTCTCTGGTTTTCTCAAGGAAGGATTTCCCCTAAATAAATTTCTTCCTAAATTATCTTGGCCTCTCCCTTTGCCTACTTACTCACTAGGCTGGATGACTTTTTTTTAAAGGTAAATCTGGAGATGTAAACCAAGCTCTGTCAAGTCCCAAGCTTTCCCTTTAAAAGGCTGAATATTA